TGATCCCAGGCAGCTTGTTCGGTGAACCTTTATACAGTTTCTAGGGGGCACAATAGAGAAACGGCAACTAGGCACAATATGATTGACAGAATAGTGTGACTTTTAAACTGATTGATCTTTAGGGAATGAGGTAGAAAGGACTTCCCTTGTCTATAGGTGGCTAATGGTTGGTTCATCCTGTGAAATGTGTCCATGTGCTCTGGGCCTCAACAACCCACAGGTGGCCGATGGTCGAATCCCCACCCCTACCTGAGGAATGTTAATTAGCCTTTCCCTTCTGGAGGGAAGGGTTTCCTAATTGTTCTATGACCTTTCTTTTCCAGAAGGGGAGGGGTCTGGTGGAATTTTCCAAAGGTCCTGAACTGACTTCTTCAGAAGGGAGTTAAATTCCATTGGGATATAAAGTTCTTCAAACAATCCCAAGCCCCTGTTCCTTTGTCTGCTGACTACCACTGGACTTACTTTACCATCTCTTGCAACAAAGGTTTAGCAGCTGGTCTTCCTTAAATGAGCTCTGAGAATCTTGGTTTGCCAAGAAATGAGCAGAAAAGTAAAAACTCAAGGCATATTATGAAACCTCTATAAAACAATGGAAGCCTATCCTTCTGAAAAACAACAACAACCAAACTGTAGAAACAGCTTTCTGAAAAAGAGGGACTATTGGTTTCTTGTTTGGTAATATGGTCTTCAACCAAGATTTTCCCTTTATCTTGTCCATTTCTCTCTTGGAATAGAAATATACAAGCATAGATGGACTTGATGATAGCTTTTGTCAGGATTTCTCATCTCAAATTCAGATAGAATTAGGCTTTGCAGGGCTATTACTGGCCCTTCACAGATTTTTGCCTTTTATGTAGTCATTTTACTAAAGGAGTAAAAGGCCTGACAAAATTGACCAGTTAGAAAGAGATGAGTTCATAATTCAGTTTGTATATATTAAGATATGACCAGTTTGTAGAATTGGGAATACAGAGATGAAGAAAGTTGCTGATGAGAGAAGAGTGCATACAGAATATGTAAATCACAGGTCAATTCTTAGATATGTTACCATTTTAAGTTTTCTGTCCCACATTAATATGTAAAATAAGTTTCTTAATTTCATAGACTCTAACTTACTACATTGAGGCTCATGTTTAGCACTTTCATTGAAGTAATCTACTAGTGTAGTGACATGTACTTTCTTATTCTTGTCAAACAAATGAAATCAGTTCATATAAAATTATATGTATTTTACATGTATAGGCATACACTATAAATGATCATATAAATCAAGTTTAAAAATGAACTATCTCTGCATTGTTAACATATTTGTGTTGAGCTTTATAATTTCTTAGCAAATATTAGATAAGACTATCATCACCAGGCTGTGCATTAATGTCCAAAATGTACTCATTTGTATGGCTGAAACTTTGTACCCTTTGATCTCTATTACCCACCTCTTCTAGCCTGTAAATCACTCTCCTACTTTCTCCTCTTGAGTTTATTTTGGATGCCCATATGTGAGATCATGCAGTATTTTTCTCTCTTATTTCTCATTATCTATGAGGTCAGAAATGGCAAGGCTTTTTGTTAAACGTTAAATACTATATAATACAACCAGTTTTATAAAAATAAATATATTTATATGTTTTATATATGTATTTATTTATTGGATATATAATATATATTGAAATATGAAGAATTACAATTTAAGTAAATAATATATATTACTTCACATATTAATAAATGTAAAACATATTACATATATACTAATATGTAAAATATATTGAAATAACACACATCAAAATATATGTATATATTTCATCTATTGACACATATGGTAGTGACCTCATCCCTTTGCTATCATAATATAGTGAAGGATATAGGAAGAACTTTGTGCTTCTGATTTATTCTGCATATATATACCCCAAGTGGGGACTATTAGATTATAAGATAGTTTGGATGTTTTATGTTTTTAGATGATTCATATTTTTCATTGTTTTGACTTTTCATATTTATTTTGCTCTTATTGCTTGTGTGTTGAGTGTCAATGTGTTACAAAGCAGCTCAATTTCAAGGAACTTTCATTTTCTTCTGAAACTCTTAGTTTTGAATTGATTTCTGTATACAGAAGAGAATCTAACTTTATTTTGTAACTGAATTTAATACAGCTTGCCAAATTCTAATTTTCAAAGAGCTGATTCTCCATTTTCAATTCTTGACGTCTTTGCTGAAGGCTAACCAATTCTGTGTGGTTTACTTCTGAGCTCTCTACTCTGTTCCTTTTGTCAGTGTTTGATTTTGTGCCAATGCATGGTGTTATAACTTTCAAATGTAATTCAAATCTGAACGTCTAAGTACTTCCAGCTTTCTTCTTGCTCAGTTGCTTTGGCTATTTGAAGATATTAATGGTTCCATATGAAAACTGCATTTAGACATTGCCATTAGAGTTATGAGAAAATCTGTTTTGACTATGGTGGTTGCTTAGGGTGGTACAATTATTTAACAATGTTAACTCCACCAACCCCCGAATTTATGTCTTTGGATGCCCGTTTTTAAATTGATCGGTTTCATAATTTTCTTATAATTTTTCATCTCTTTAATATCTGCATATTTATTCTTATTGCAAATGTAAGTGGTATTACTCCTTTAAAATTTCTTGTTTAGGCCACTGTCATACCTAAAACGACACAGATTTTTGTATACGGTTTTTGCAACTTCCTTGAACTTAATAGTTCCATCTAACACTTTCTGAATAGATCTTTATTATTTCCTATCTTACACTGAGAATCTTTACATTGAGGATCCCATCACCTCAACATAATTTTACATTTCACTCTAACATTGAGCACCTTTAAAATTTTACTAGGACTTTCAGGAGTATGCGGATCCTAACAGAGGAGAGCAGCCATTTGCCTCATTCCAGATCTTACAGGAAATGTTTTCGGGTTTCTTGTCTGGTTACATCATAGATACACTTTGCATCTAAAACAGCTCCAAAGGGGCTAAGCATTTTAATGTATTTTTTCCCAGAGCTCAAGTCTTGAGAAGTAGTGGGAACAAGAATTCGGATCTAATATGATGTGCAAGCTCCTTAAAGGGACTGTGGGACACTTATCTCTTCCTCTGTCTTTCTCACAAGAACAGGAGGTTAATCAGCTTTGCTCTGTCACATGCTGCCTCACGCAGTATGCTGTCTCACCATGGGCCCAGAAACAAGGATCTCCCATAGTCTGAAACCTTTAAAAATAAACCTTTGCTGTTCTAAAGTCATTGCCTATATACTTTGTTATAGAAATGGGACACAAGGTTTTTCATGGACACAAGTCCCTTGTATCTAAAATTTATTATGAAAAGCTGCTGAAGATTGACAAATACTTTACATCTATTGAGTGATCACTTTTGCATTCCATTCTGATTCTGTGGTCCATCATAGTGGCTGATTTTTTTCCATAGTGAATTATCATTGTATCCAGAGGAGAATATATATATCTAACTTGGTTGCAATATGTGATTCTTTTAATGTCTCCATGCACAAAGCCATGAGAGTTTGCCACAGGCATAACAAGGTTAGAAAATAGGATAGTGGTGGGACATTCTCCAACTGCAGGCAAGCATGTAGACAGAGTTGTTTTCTTTAAAAACTTAGTTATATGAATGTTTGTTTTAATTCCACATGTGGGATATGGGGCTGCTTCAGTTTGTTCACAGCTGTTAACTGTGATTGTCTTGTGCTCTAGGAGGAATGTGATTTTTGCAAGCTGCAGATAGTTTCTGGGGACTCTGGAGAGAGTATAAATGTGGGTCCTGAGAGAGCCTGGGCTTTGCTCTCACTGCTGCTGATTGATGTTGTTCCAGTTTCGCAAGTGGTCATGAGCAAAGAGACAAGAAGAAATTGGATATCCTGGTGATTAAGATTAGACTTGCCTCAAGGAACACAAGACCCCTAATCAGCAGGAAGAGGTCTATGCATCATTTTACCTCTAACATTTTTCTCCTACCTAGTGTTGGGTGATTGCAAAGGATTAGGGCAGAAAAAGGGTTGGAAAGGTGGTAGATATAAAAACTCAACAAAATATTATTTTTTTAATAAAAGGGACATTAACAGACTAATTCCAGTGAGGAATACAGGGACCAAGGCACTTGGGGTCCGTAATGGTTAATACCAAAACCACAGGAACTCATAGCCATTGGGAGAAATTTCGAGGGTTTCTGTGGAAAAGACTAATAGAGTCCTCTAAAGAGGTAGGTGATTGTACAACATGGTGGCACTGGTATCCACATGACAGCAATTCAAATCCTAAGGATATATCTAACAAAATGTATGAAACCACATACCTACAAAAACATATACATATTCAAAATACATCAGAAGTGGAAAAACTTAGCTGTCAATCAAGAAAAGGAACAAACAAAAAACTGGCCCCGATTGGATTACTTAGTAGTAAAAAGGAATACATACTGAAACAACTTACACACACATGGACAGACCTTGAAAACGTCATGTTATTTGAAAGAACACAAACAAGGCAAATCACACTTAGTATAATTCCAGTTACATGAAGAATGTAGATGAAGCAGTGAAACGGGGAGAGAGAGAGAGAGAGAGAGAGAGAGAGAGAGAGAGAGAGAGAGAGAGAGAGATTGATTGATTAGTGCTTTCCAAGAGTTGAGGGCAAAGGGAAGTGGGAAGTGGTTACTACTCACATACAGGAATTGTTCTGGGCTGATAAAATATCTGAATTTAGTGGTTATGGTAGTACAGCTCAAGGAACAGTGTAAAAACTACTGAACTTTATATTTCAAAAGGCTACATCTCAATAACTCTATTGTTAATAATTAAGTACATTACCAGACCTCTGTATTTACTCCTGATTGTTTATCTGAAGTCAGAGTGCAACTTTCCTGCAGGGATTTCCTGATCATTCACATTAACAACTACAGAGAGTTGACAACTATTTTAAATTAATCCCTTCATCACCATATATGTCTGAAAAATCAAACGAGTAAGAATATATAACTTGAAATTATAACCAGGAATTTTATTTCTTCATTGACTTTAACAATTTCTTTCCTAAATTTCCTGGGGTTATGTTTTTTTGAGATAGGATCTCACTCTGTTCCCTAGACTAGCCTTAAACACAGTGATCTTCCTATGTCTCCCCTCTCCACTTTTAACTTTAAATGGGAAAAAATACATTAAAGAGAAAGGGCTGGGAAGGGGGTAACATTTGAAGTATAAATAAATACAATAATAAAAAAGATTTGATCACCAAAAAAGTCTATTTTTCCTCAAATTAAGCCTAATTATTTTAAAGTTCTATAAATGATAAAATACTATCTGTCCCTAAAGACATTCCTCTAAAAACATGATACAACTTAAGAACCCATAGCCATGTAATAATGAACCATCTTTTCCCCAGGGAATGGGGACAGGCAGACAGACAATCATCAAAGATGCTACATACCTAGGAATTTTCTCTTGTCCTTCATAGAGATGCCAGTTTCATCTCACAGCAAACACCTTCCAGAACACTAGTTTCTCAAGCTTCCTTTGGAGCATTACCTTTGCCTGTTCTCCTCATATCTAATAGTCATCCCAAAGGCAGCAAGGGCTTATTTATTTGGGTATTTCAATAAAATAGAAAAATTTTTAAATGAATTTTTTCCTTTTCATCAAACTTTTTTTTTTCATGTTTAAGACAAAGTATCACTGTGTAGGCCTGGATGGCCTGACACTCACAATATAGACCAGGATGTCTTTGAACTGACAGCTATCCTCCTGCTTCTGTCTACTAAGTACAGGGATTATAAGTGTGTGTCACCATGCTTAGCCAAAGATTAATTTTAAATGAATTAAGTTTTAGCTTTTTTCCCTAAAGTAAAAGACATCAATTTCCACTCAGATTATGGATTGTATATGTTCATGCCTGTGTGTGTTTGTTCATATGTGTCAAGGTCAGAAGCCACCATTCATTAAGTATCTTCTTGAGTTACTATCCAACTTAGCTTTTGAGCCACAGTGTTTCATTGAACCTATAGCTTACTGATTCAGCTGTATTACCTGGCCAATGAGCTTGAGGGGTCTTCCCTCCCCAGCACTGGGATTATAGAGGAACACTGCTGCACCCAGCTTTTGCATCATGCCAGGGATCTCAACTCTGTCCTCCTGCTCACATGGCAAGCACTCTACCAACTGATCTCTCTAGTCTCCCAACATGGATTTTAAAAAGATCATTATTCATGTTAACCTTTAGAAACATGTTGTGCAAATCATAATATAACCTATGACAGGGAACTCAGTGCTCACACACTGCAACATTTTGTTAGCCTATGTCCAAACACATCTGAGAATGGCATTTGGAAATGTGGTACAGAACAGCAGACTAAGGAGTGCTGGCTATAACAAATGTTCTTAGGTTAGAAAATGCTGAGTTAACTTACTAAATGATTAAGGAACATCAACTGAGCATCCGAATTTCTGCTAGAGCACACCATGGGCACTAAAGCTTCTAACATATAAGGCTCCCTGTAAATGTGGGAACCTATTCCAAGGGTGAGTTTACAAGTGCTGTTCCCACATCTGCAGCACCCTCTATTCCCAATGTGTGTGTGTGTGTGTGTGTGTGTGTGTGTGTGTGTGTAGCAAGCAGACATGAGAAATAAAATAGATCTATGTTCCTATACCCATTTCATAGAATTTTGGTTCTCACCCACAAGACATGGTTTGGGAGCTATTCTACATTCTTCCTACAGCAGCTAGGGAAACTAAGAACAGAATTCAAGAGACTCAGCTAGGAAAGGGCAGAGGTGAGACGGAAGCCTAGATGCATGTGCTTGCCCATGATGCTCTTTTTTGATATAGTACAGATTGCCAGACTGAGATGCCTTGACATGTTTAAGAGTTATATTATGACATAACATAAAGGTATGTCATACTTTAATCTCAGATTTAAACAAAGAGTGAGTCCAAGTTTTTATTTTCTTTTTAAATAAAAAAAAAAGTTGAATTAACAAGTGGTAGAGTCAAGGAGAAAACACTGCCTTGTAGTCAGCTCCTCAGACTTCCGGCAGAGCCTCACTTCTCTTATTTCCACTTTACCTCCCTTCACTCTGGTTCAACACTAATCAATTTCTTTGCCCTTTCAAAGTGCAACTGGCTTCATGAAAACAGGTAGGAAACGAAACATGTATTTTATCAATCCATCACTAAGTTTATGAGTGTTTACTAAAAGACAGCTACTGAGTTATTTTCATCCCTCCAGGTCCCCTTTTAAAGTGTGGATGCTAGTTTCCTGGGTCATGTGATACCTATGAAAATACCAGAGGTAAAGTTACAATATAATTCTTTTATTTCCAATTATTTATTTTTAGTTACTACATGCTTACTAACACAGGCTGCTTCATTTATTCTGTTTGCATCAAAGTGTATTTTCCTAGAAGAAAATATTGCAAATAATTCAACACTAAAATATTAGCTACATTGGGGTCAATTCATGGTCTCTCCTTGTGAATGAATCTAGCGTTAGTCATTCAGGCACCTCAGCTGGTCTTCTAGAGAAGGAGTGAATGCATATGTGAGCTTTACAAAGAAAGCTAGCTTTCAGGATCTAAGAAATACAATAGCCTCTTCTAAGGGGAAAAAGGAAATAATATTTGTTAGAACAGGTTTAAATTCTTAAAATTTGTTTCTGCAGAGAACATCTTTTTGCTCGTTACTGAGAACAGGAAGCTGATATTAATTAAATATTTCCCAGATAAGATAACCAGCCAAGGAGGTGGAAAGTTAAAAGTGAATAAAAATGAAAGAACATTCTAAAAAGAACCTATTCAGTTTGTCAGTGGTGAGAGGAGCACATGTGGCAGGATAGCCTTGTCACAAATTGGAAGTTGTGACTATATTGTAGAGGTTTGACATTGGAAACAGCACATTCTTCTGTAATAAAGGCTTGACTGTGATAATTTACCACTTGAAATATGCTGGGTTCAAGTCTGTTACTCAGTGAACATCTGTTTTAAAGAAAGGCATACAAATACAGATCACATCAAACACTTTCATTGAGAAGTTGACATGGACGCTTATACAGTTTATGGTAGATGGTCTCAGAAGCTTTCCTGTGTATGAGAAACAGAACTACAGGCTTTTTTGTATAAGTTCCTGTACATCTTGTCCATGCTGTTCTCAAAGACGGGTCGGTGGGATTTCCCTTTACAAGAGGCTGCTCTGTTGGACCAGCATTCGCCATCATCCAAATGGAAAGAGCCACGCGGCCGCTGGAAGGAGCTGAGAAAAGATTGTTTTTTGAAAAAGGTTAAAATGGTGAAATGAAGTTAGAGACACTACTATGAGTTCAAACATTTACTGAGTATGGATATGTGATACAAAACACATTGAGGCTTTGCTTTTCAAGATTGGCTTTCTATAAGGGAAAGCTAAACTGTTAATATGAAACTATGTAGAATAAAATAAAAAACCTGTGTTAAGAGTTAAAAGCAAGGTAAAAACAACACAGAATCCAGTCAGAGCAGCACACATTTTAATCCCAGAACTTGGAAGATAGAGGCAGGCAGGTCTCTAAATTCAAGGCCAGCCTGATCTAGATGGAGAGACCTTGTAGTAAAAAGGAAAATGAAAAGAGCACAGATAAAGTGGTATGGTCTGTATAAGGACAGAACTTCTAAAGCTGGAATTCTCTGTACGCTCAGAAACCTTCAGGTATTAACTTTGTAGTTTCTTCCCCCTTAATTACATTCATACATAATTGTACAATTCAAGAGAATACATACAAAGTACATGGTATAGCATTTACTTGGAACAAAGAAGTGATATGATGCATTGAGTTAAATACTTTTCTTTGTGCCCAGCAATCTCATAACACCATAACAGGATAGTAAGATTCAGGATATCAATAAACCCATCTCAGCTGACTAAGAAACTCCCTAATGGCTAGCGTGTATACATAAGGTACTATGCAGGATGCCGGGGGAGAAGACACCAAGGCCTCACCCAGCACTGGACACTGAATGCTACAATACCAACCTGCAGGCTAAGATGTACTCACTGGTACAAAGGGGCATGATGGTTATAGATGCAACTAACTGCTTTCTGATTAGATGAGGTCCCTTTCCACGAGAATAATTTTATGCCTGGTACTACAAACCTAGTAAAAGTTCTTAACCATGAAGGCCACAGGCCCTAGGGGAACCTACCATTATTGTCTTGCTATCTAGTTGCATTGTCAAACTGCCTTCCAAATGTTTATGCTTATAGATTACTGTTGTTCTAAGCATTGGTCAGAGAAATTTCCTTTGGCAGTGCATACTGGTTAATGCAGAGTGATAACTAGTCAAAGTACTGAGTATAAGTAACTTTGAGTGCTTAGCTGTGCATGGTAATTATATCAAACAACCCCCTCCCCAAAGCCACCATTCAAGGCACAGTGAATATCACAGGTGTGGAGGCAGAAAAAATATAAGAGTTGGAACCCAGGGAGGAGAGCTGTAAAATGCTGATTTGGGGACAGGATATGGGCTGTTACCTCAACTCTAAGTAACTATGATTACCTAACAAAAAGGCTCATATATATTATATAATTTTTAGTGCAAGTGAGGGATGGGGAATGGGAGGGAAGAGAATGAGGGTAGATTTGTCCAAAACACATTAACACATTATATATATATATAAAATTCTCAAAAATTTAAAACAAAAATAAGTAATAGTCCTAATTGTGAAATACAGCTCTGATCAAAGTGAGTCTTAATACGAAGTCTATGAAGAGGTGCAATCACAAAATCACAATCCTAAACATAATATTATTTACTTTGAGGCAGTCTAGAATCTCTAATAAATTGTGAACTGAATTGATTTTTAAAAACATTTTGGTGCAAACTTCAGCTAGAAAGAAATTAATTATATTTCGTGGAGCACAATCCCTAAGGAATTTCATGATAAAAAAACTCAGACAGTATTCCATGGTATAGCAGTAATGATGAATGCAACTACCCATGATTCATAGTTTTTAATTATACATCTTATAGCCATTGGCACAGAAATTTCACAATAAAATTTTCTAGTATAATCTTTCAAAAATATTTTATTTCTAATATCCCTGAAATTTTAAAAGAGCAGATTTTCTCTGCTCTTTTTTTTTTAAAAAAAAGATTTACTTGTCTAAAATTTATAAAAACTCTTTTTTAGTTTATGATGAATGTATCATGAAATATATGAATATGGTTGTCAGTCAAATAAATCCTAAACAGGAGGAATTGAATCATCACAAGTTGGGTATTTGAGTGTGTGTGTGTGTGTGTGTATACATGTGTGCAAATGGATGAACATGTGTGTATAGAGGCAAAAGTCAATGTGTGGAATCTTTCTCAATTATTTCCTACCTTATTTTTGGAGACCAGGTCTGTCACTGAATCTGGAGTTCATTAATTCAGCCACACAACCAAGTCAATCCCAGGCCCTAGGGATCGTCTGCCTCGGCTTCTACAGTACTGGGATAGCAAACACAAGCACACAGCTGCTTCTGTTTTCTGCCCTCAGCATGGGCACTAAGGAGTGAAAACACAGGTCCTCACGCCTGCACTGCATGCATTTTACCAGGCCATCTCCCTAGCCCTTAAATGTATTTTTATTGGAAAGCTTCGGTAGTGAAAAGATATAACTGGGCTGGAGAGATGGCTCACCAGTTAAGAGTGAATACTGCTCTTGCAGGATCCAAGCTTAGTTCCCAGAACCAATGTTGGGTGCCTCACAGCCACCTGAAACTACAGCTCCAGGGAGATCCCATGTCTCCAAACTCCAAAGGCATCTGCCCTCACATACACATATCCACATACAGACATACATACTTTTAATTAAGAAAATAAAATTTAAATCTAGAAAACAGGAGAAATGGGTCATTTTTATGCTAGCTATGAAAAAGATCTCCACACAGAGAAGCAAGTCCATACCTATATTCAGGGTCACTGTCATAGGATGAGTCTCTATATAAAAGACTTCTTTTCAGTTCCAGTTCGTCTTCTTTCTCTGGGTCTCTCTCTTCCTGAAAAATGAAAAGATTTCCATTAACTTTCTCATTGCTTCCAACATAGTAGTAATGAATCTGTGGTAAATGTGTCTCTTCTGCCTTTCTATAAGAGACTGAATCAAGTGCTTGGACATCTGAGGAAAGAAACAAACTCTTGAAAATGCATTATTTCTCAATAACATTTTAAGATTATAATAAAATCACATCATTTCTTCTTCTTTTTCCTTCCTCCACATTCTCCCACATACCCATACTTGTTCTCTTTCAAAACAGCCTCTTTTTGATTAATAATTGCTACATGCAAGTATGTATATGCATACATAATCCTAAACATAACCTGCTCAATGTGTATAGTTATTGATATACATGTTTCAAAAGAGCACATTATAATTTGGTTAGTACTAGTTAGGGAAGACTGGACATTCAGTAAATACTTTATGAATATAGAATAAATGGTAGTGGATGTAACAAGATGGGTAAATTAATAAAGCTATAAATATTTTATATAAACTTTTACCTTCTGAGACATAAATACTAATACTTGAGAAAATTACACAGATGCAAGCATGCATCCATGATTTGCAAAAGAAATGATTTACTGATAATAATAAACCAAAATAATAAACCAAAGAAAAAACTGAAATGTGAGTTAATTGGAATAAGCATATATAGCCAAAGTTCATATATAGTTCTAAGTTCTTAACTTAAGGGTATTGAAAACAAGGTCATCAGAGCTAGTTTTGTAAGCTGCACTGTTGCAGTAAATTCACATGTGTGTTTCCTATACTTTCTTAGTAAGTTCTGGTCTAACCTTAGCCATCACCTCTCACTCCTTGGTCAACATGAACAGTAAAGAAAACAGTTAATAGAAACCCACAGGGAACAGCACTGATAGAGGAAGGGCCCATCCACTTCAGGTAAGAAAACATATTGTCTAAAAACCAGTGGGGAAGGGGGGAGGCACAAAAACAACAACAACAACAACAACAACAACAACAAAAACCCAATGAATAATAAACAAGCAAGTTAAAACAGTTTGAAAAATCTACATATAATTTTGGTTGCCAAGCGTTTAAGGTCTTGCCATTATGACTCTAACATTTTTGTCTACTATTAAAAGTTAAGTTAGTTTTCTTTTAGTTAGTGCCTAAATGATAAATATTTAATCATTTGTTTTCAAGCTTTCCATTGAGTCTTTTTCTTAACTTCCATCCAGTCATGTTAGAAAGACAGACAAGAGAAGAAATAAGTGGGAGGGCTGTTATGAGTAGAATAAACACCCTTTGCTAACCCCACTCATGCAGAGCACTGCCCATCTGGATCAAGGATGGCATGATGGGGAATACTGGCCCAAGAAACAAAACAGATTGTATTACTGATCAGAATACAAATAGAAATAATCATTTCATGTATATACGCACATCCAGAGCATCTGACTAGAAAGTGTGCTCAGAAAGGCCACTTGTACATAGAGCACCTATAACTGAAATGGGGGAAGGGAGATAGGTATAAAACAGTTACTTAGAATGTATCCAGGTATGGTCCTTGTTAGACCTCTAATCTACAGAAAGATAAAATGATCAATTCCAGACAGTAAGTTAATGATAATGTATGATAGCAATAGGAAAAAACACAAAGAGACATAAATCCCCTATTAAAAAATATATAGAAATTGTTTAGGGGTTAAAAGGATAATTTATAGTAGATATCTACTTCTGTTGCAAACTAGGAAAGCTGAAAAAAATAAATAATTTTTAGGATGTTAGAAGCAAAACCAATGAAGAAGACAGATACTAAGCTATTTGAGAGGCAATCCTTTCAAAAATGGACCTACCGTGCATACCTCTCTTTTTCCTGAAGCATTTTAAAATTTGTGTATGGACTAGAGGCTGAGTTTGAACAGCTAACATTTGAAAAAAGGTCAATGAAAAGGAATAAAAAAATTGCAAAGGTTTTCTTAATGATTGAACAAGGTAGAAGACAACATTTATATTCTATAGCACCTTATAATGTACTCTCAAAGCTTCCTGAGACATCAGGGAATTAAGCTAAATGAAAACATCTGGAAAGCAGAGTGCAGTCCCCTACAATTTTACATTGTTTAGAGGCTGAGAAGCACTGTGGACACAAGAAACAAACCCTTGCAGTAGTGTAGACACTTTAGTGTCCCCATTGAAATGGTTTATGTACTATAGACACTACTAGTCAGGCTAAAAGTCCAGCCCTGGCCATGAAAAAAATACTAATTCCTACAGATGGAGAAATAAGCATAATGTTTTAAGAAACCCATAAACAGAGAGGATTAAAATTGAAGCCTAGAAAGTCCTCAAACATATAAAAATTGTCAAGATATTTGCTGGCTTCTGAAGTTAAGCAGACCACCAAAATGTCTGGAATCAAAGAAAACATGCCCTATAATCATGGTACCTAAAAGAAACATTTACCAGATAGAAAGCAGATGAGCACTAAAGTTCTCAAAAGGATGTTGAACTAATACCTGACTATTTGCAAGGAGCATGCATCTAAGGACACCTGCCTTCTGAGAGCAGTCAGAAGCTGATCTCAGTCATAGCAGCAACTGCTGAATAGAAAAGGTAGAAAACATTGAACTAGTCATGCAAAAGGTGTCACAATCAACAGAGACAGGGGAGACTCAAATATGCCATGTGTCGCTTAGCATTATCTTGAAAAAATTCATCATAGGTTTATTTTACTGTATATATTTAAAGTAAGGTAGGTATGGCATTATCAGGTGATGTTGTACTTTCTATGGCCCATCATCACATATGCAGGACAACACTAACTGAAACATCGCTATGAAAATAACTTCTTAGCATGAGATGTAAAGAACTAAACCTTCTGTTCTCCAGAGTCAAGTATCCCCTGGGTCCATAGTTCTCTCTAATGGTCAAATGTCAATTTATCACCTCCCACAAACAAGAAAGAAAGGCCTAATGGTTATAATTTAAAGTGGGGGCTAATGCCATAAGTGAGAGATGCACGGGGATTGATCAGGACCCTAAGGACAAAATGGAATTAATCAAAACTCTATATAGCCTGAAACCAAGTCCTTTTGGGATCAGAATTATTAGATCTTAATGCTACCTGCCTAAAAGAGAAAACAAAACCCTGTCTTCATGAAGAAAATCAAAAACTTCTTAAACATATTCAGAACTAAAAATAAACAGGACACGTAGTGCCAAGATACCATTACTCCTAAAAAAAGTAAAAAAAAAAAAGACAAAAATGCAAATTTCAAATATGAGTTCAGGAAGATGAATAAAAGGATTTATAATTAAAAACATAGCTACTGAAATAATCAACTTAGCAGGGAAGAGTAACAGCACATTGGAATCAGCAAAAATCAGAATTACAAAATAAATAGCTATAATAAAAGCAAGCAGAACGATAAATACAAAAGTCCAGAGCTCAAGATGGGTCAGCAGTTAAAAGAGAATGCTGCTCTTCCAGAGGACCAAGGTTCAGTTCCCAGGATGCACAGGTGGCTCACACGTGTCTGAAACTCTAGTTCCTGGTAGTCTGACACCCCATTCTGACCTCAGCAGGCACCAGGCATACAGTGGTACACAGACAGATATGAAGGCAAAATACTAAAATAACACTAAAACTTAAAAAAGAAAGTTTAAGAAGCCTGTGAGACAGAATCAAATGATCTAAAAATATAGTTCAACATCCAAAAAGTAAGAAATGATGGTATTCTTACAAGGCATGATTGAAGAAATAATAGACTAGAATCCTAAATAAGCCCTGGTTGAACATGCTGAGCCGGCTTAGCACCTAATCTCAGCTTTTACAACATGGATAAGAAAATCAAGAATTCAGAATTAAAAGGCATATTACTAATCCAAAATTCAAAATGTTTCAAGATTCAAATTATTTGAGTGTCAGCAAAGACTTCACAAACAGAAAATTCCACAGTCCTTGTAAAATGGGTCAAATCAAAATAGGGGTCAAAATTTTTAAAGTACTTAAATTCTTTTATACAATAATCTTTAGAAGTTAGGTATATTAGGTGTTTGTGAAACATAAATGAGGTTCACGTAAAGTTCTTCTCATTCTCAAGATCCCTCCTTCCCCCTCTCTTCTCCTCTGCCTTTTCTCATTTCTCCAAATATAAAGTTGTGTGTATATTTATACATATGAATGTACAGTATATACAAATATATATATATATATACACACATTGTATTTAACACATGAATATCCAAATTTCTTGTCCCTCAACAACTCCTTCTTAGTTATATTTCAATCTAGTATGTGCACATCAAAACTCTGCATGCACAACAAAACACACTGCGTGTAGCAGTACATAAGCATTAGTGTCAAATTACAAATACAGTAGACTGACTGGGGTATCCTTTGTAAAAGGTCAATTATTAATTCTGCTATTGTGCCCATAGATGGCATATAAATGAATGAACATATCTAGATCCCAAGAATTTGCTTGGAAGCATAATTTGCTGGATCTATGAACATTGAAAAAGAGTGTAGACATGTGTGTATAATAATACACACAACGATCAGCTAAAGAAACTAGACATGAAATCATAATTTTGAATGTTCAAAGCCATCTCAAACTAATCTAGATACCGTCACATATTAGAATATTTTGGTGTTTGGTGGAAAGGGCCTAAGGTACTACCCAGGGTAACTGGGGGCACCAATAATATTGCAACTAATCTGGATGCTGTTTTACATATTGTCCATTGTGTTAATATTCATTCTATTGCACAAAGGAGTAAAATCATACCAAGGAGGTAACACATTTAAGCTATCCAAATAGCAGTACCAAAACTCCATGGAAAACACATACAATGACAAGACAATCTGTTAGCATAGCACCTTAATTAACAAAAGAGGTTAGTGCAGACACATTGTGAAGGGGCTGGCAGGGGAAAATCAGGTGGCATCCACCTGATGACTTCAAACATCTCAGAAGCTCAGTGCCTCAGCTTCTGGGCAGCCACCAAAAGCAGATGTTTCCAACTTTTCCA